TTTTTTTCCTTCATTTCATTACTAATGTTAAAAAATTATCAAACTATTATTTTTATGAATATTTAATATTTTCTGATATAATTTAAAATCAAGAAATTGATTACTAATCTTAGATGATCCAATACATTGATAATAAATTAAATTACTTTGATATTTATTTAAAGAATAAATATATTTTATCTTTCTATTTTTTAAAATGAAGGGAAAATAAAATGAGATGATTTGTCCTGGTGATAATCCTATATCTTCTTTTTGTAATTTTAAATATGCAGTATTATTTAAAAGAAATTTTATTTTCGCCCTTTTTATATTCTCATTATTTCTAATTTTAACAAATATGATTTTTTCATCTTTAGATCTTTTTTGTTTTTTTAAACATATAGGAACTTTCCCTTCTATCCATTTTATATTCTTTAATTTACATTTTGTTCTTATATTTTTAAATAAATCATCTTTATATTTTTTCGTTACATATATAAAATTTTCTCTTAAATTTTTATCTTTGTTTTCTATCATTTTTTTATAAGCAACTATCCATTGGCATGAAGAGAAAAGATTTTTACAATTTTTTTTTATCCTTTTATTATAAAGAGAATGAATAAAATTCGTTATATATTTATTTTGCCCAATCGCATAAAAATGAATGTCATAATTTTTATCTATCACAATCTCATCATCGATACTTATAATATAGTTAATATAATTCAAATTAAATGATGAAATATATTTTTCCTTAAAAGTTAATAAATCATTCGTATTTAATTCACTAGATGATTTCTCTGAGATATTTTCATTTTTTATATCTTTATCATTTTTTAAATATGCCTTTAATAACAAATGCATATTAACATTTCCGTATAAACATAAACCTTTTGTTTCATTTTTATTATAGTAATCAATATTTTCTTTTTTCATAAAATTTTTAATATTTTCTTTTGTATGTAAACATAAAGGAAAAATAAATTTTGATAACTGATTTTCAGAAAATGATGATAAAAAAAAAGTTTGATCTTTTTTTCTATCACTACTAACAAGTAACTTATATTTTTTTTTCCCTATGTGTTCCTTTTCATTTTTTTCATATAAATATGGAAAATTGTTATTAAAAAAATTATTGGCATTATGTGTATCATTAGTGCTTATCATAGCATAATGTCCAGTAGATATATAAGAATAATTAAAAACATTATTTTTTTTTTTATATAAACTTTTAATAATCTTTAAAAAAAAACTATATTTTATTTTTTTATTACAAATGATATCTGGATTAGGAATTTCTCCTTTCGAATAATTTTTTAGCATTGGAACAAGAACTCTTTTAAAATATTCATCATTAATATTTATAATATATAAATTTCTTCTTTTTTTGCAAATGCGTTTTACATATTTCAAATCATTTTTACTACAGTTATAGTTATTAAAATTAAAAAAAAAATTATCAATGTAATATTTTTTTTTTTCTAATAGAAATAAAGCCATTAAAGAATCAATTCCTCCACTCAACATATGTGCCACTCGTGGGTAGGGATATATTTTCATAGAATTTTCATCTGGATTTAAAATTATCTTTTTATCTTCAATTGAGTTTTTAGAATCTAACATACTTTCATTTAACTTAAAAGACACTTTTTCTTTATTTTTAATTTTACGTTTATTATTTTTAATATCTTCCTTCAAAATGAAATTCTTTATATACTCATATATATAATTTATTATATGTTCGATATTAAAATGAATCGTAAATAAATTTTTTAAATGGTTAGCTATTTGTTTAATGTCCATCTTAAGAAAAAAGTTTAAGTTTACTTGTTGTAATCCTTTTAATAAAGAATGAAGAAAGCAACATAGTAATAAATTATCACTAAATCCATCTATTGTTATAAGGTATTTACGTTTTTTTAAATTATATTTAATTATATCATCTATATCATCCTTTCTCTTTAAAATATTTAAAGTTGTTTTTTTTCTCTTATTGTTTACATATTTTTTTTCATTATTTAATTCTAAATTGGGGAAGCATTTATCTCTTTTTAGTTTTTCATTTTGTTTTTTTATTTTTCTTATTATATCTATTGCTAAATATACACTGGAATTACAATTATATACATATTTATAAAAAACATTTTTTCTTACTTTATTGATAAAAAATTGCTTTTTTTCTTTTGTAAAATCACTTATATCTTTATTTGTAAATTTCTTTTTAATTAAAGGAAAATAGTTATTTTTACATGTTTCTATATTTCTTTTTATTAAATAATTTATTTTATTTTCTCTTTCATTTAATGATTTTAAATCTTCATATATAATTCTGATATTTCTTTTAAAATTTTTATTGTTATATAATTTTTTGCTCCAGTTAATAGTATTTATCTTTACATTATTAATATAGCCATTAACTCCTATTTTTTCATTCCTTATAATTTTATTATCAGAAAATGACAAACATAAAATAAAATAAATCAAAACAATAAACATGAAAAATGACAATTATAAATATTTACATCTTCAATCTCTTTTTTGTTCTTTTTTTTTTTTTTTTTTTTTTTTTTTTTTGTTCTATCTTTATTTTTCTGTGTTATTAAAAGTACCAATTCATTATATTTTTCTTATATATATATATATATATATAATTCTGTAATTATCATTTTTTAATTATATTATTTCATGATTTCTTTATATGTTTTTATTTATTTTTAAATGAATTAAATATTTTTTTATTATCATTATGAGTAATGCATATATTTGTATCATATATTATATTTACCTTATATGACTACATAATTTTTATTCATCCCTTTTTTAATTATTAATTTATAGTTTTACAATTATTTAAAACTTTTTCTTACAATCTGTAGTTTTTATATGTTGTATTTTATTTTATTTTATTTTTTTTTTTTTTCTTTTTTTTTAATAATATATTTTAAAAATTTTTCCATATTATTTAATTAAAAAACTATAATAGCTCATATAATTCAATATCTAAACATTACAAGAACTTCATCAGAAATTTACTACTTTCCCATATAAAATTATAGTTTCAAAATATATTATTCTATTTTTTATTTTTTATATAATCATAATATTAAAATCAATTATTCTATAATACTATGTGTTTATACATTAATTTTCGTTCATTTTGTTTAATATCATTTTTTTTGAATTTTTAAATTACTTCTATCTATGTAGAAATTTATTCATATTTTCATAGAAAGAAAAAAATATTCTATATATATATATATATAAATCTTAATATAATTCAACAAATAATTAAATTATAAAAATGAGAGTTACATAATATATAAGTTAAAGTTTATAAACAAAATAATTAAATAGATGGATATATTACAAATAAATGTAGAATTATTTTTATATATAAATTACAAAGATATATATATTGAAATGATATTGTAATTTTACAAAATATTAGATAATAATATTATTAGTACAAAATAAAGCAAAGAATTATTTTTTAATAAACCATAATATAAAATTATTTTATATTACAATAATTATGAACAAAATAAATTCTGAAAATGTTTTTAAAATAAATTTATTTTTTTCTATCCTTTAAATGAAATTATTATCCCATATCCTTATGGCATTTTCGTGTATCCAAAATATACCATGAATATTTTGAAATTATAAAAATTCACAAATTCATTTTAATAGAAATGAATATTTACCAAATAATATAATAATTTTATTAATAAATTTTTTTTCAAAGTAGTTTTTTTAGTTTTCAAAATTAATTCAAACTAAAATAAAAAAAAAAAGAAAAAGAAAAGGAAAATATAAATATACACACACATATATATAAATATACATATATGTGTATATTATTAAAAATAATAAAGAAAAAAAAAAAAAAAACAAATAAGATGTGTATATACACACATTTCCATATATATATTTTAACTATAAGAAATAAACTACGAATATGATTAAAATGTAAATAATAATTAATTTTTTTTTTCTAATAAGAATCAAATGTATAAACATATCTAAATCTTACTGAAATAATAATAAATAAAATTTATTAAGAATAATATTAAGTGTAATATATAAAAAAAAAAAAAAAAGAGAAATTAATATTTCCTTATATATATATGCATATATTTCTATAAAAAAATTTAACAATGTTAACAATATTTATTAAAAATATTTAAAAACTATTTTATTTAAAAAAAAAAAAAAAAAGAAAAGAAAAGAAAAACGAAAGAATTAGCGGTCTTCAATGTATATGTAATATTAAAAAAAAAAATTGTGAAAAAAATAAAATTTTAATTTTTTTTTTTTTTTTTTTTTATCCTAAACAACTTTCACAGCTATATTCAAGATATAAATATCCATCTTCATCTTTATACATTTCATATAATTCTTGCATTAACAAACCAGTTTTAGGTACAATATTATTAACAAATATATAAATTGTCTTTTCTCTAAACATTTTCATATTATTTCCATATGCACACTGATTAATGTGTTGATGAAGAATAAACTTAAATTCACCAACTAGCATATTCATAGGAACAAGAAATTTTTTTTTTTCAATAGCTGGCAAATCTGATCTACTAGCTTTTTCACAAACTACAGGTATTCTATTCGGATATTTTGCTCGAATTTTATGTGTTTCTGCTACTCTATTTTCAAAAGGTACCTCTTCTTTTAATGACGGCATTTTAACAAAAGATTAAAAAAAATAAAATTAAAAAAATTCTACATATACAACTAGCTATTCTAATATTTATAGAATTCCATAAAAAAAAAAAAAAAAAAAATAATAAGGTTTTTGTTCATACAACTATTTAGTTCACTGCTTTCATAACTTAGTTAAAAAAGAAGGTAACAAAAAAAAAAAAATTAGATATAAATATATACATATATATATAAATAAATTTATCTATATAAACATCTCATTACATACATATATATATTCTTTTTTTTTCTTTATAATATACATATTTATATGAATTTTCTATAAAATTATCTTTAGAATTTTCATTATTTCCAACATAGCATATTAAATCCAGATGTTTAAATATCTTACACAAAAAAAAAAAAAAAAAAAAATGTAAATTAATATAAATTAATTTAAATATTTATGTGTTTAAATCTATTATTCTTCTTTATAATAAATATACATTGTATTCTGTTATTTCTATATATTATATCTTTAACATACATGAAATTAATGGTACTTCATTTATTCGTTTTTTTTTTTTTTTTATATATATTTTCATCTTATTTCATTCATTCTAAATTGATATTGTTACTATTTTTTTTTTTTTTTTTTTAATGAAATACTGCAACTTTTCTTTTGTAATTTTCTTTATCTTTTTTACTTTTTATATTTTTAGAATACCTATAATTATATTGTAAATATTTCAATTAATGTTTTTATTTTAGTTTCTATTTTTTTTTAACCTTTTATAAATAATTTTACAAATTTTTTTATTTTTTCATTTAAACAAATAAAAATATAAAAAAGAAACGTTTATTCAAACATTTTTTTACTAATACAATTATGATTTAAATAAAAAAACAATCTATATTTATTACTTTATATAGTTTAATGTTTTTATTCATTTAAAATGAATGTTTTTATGTATATAATAAATATATATTTATACTTATATACATATATATATTTTAAAACAAATAATTTTTAGAAATTTTATACACTTTTTCTGTGCATAAAAAAAAAAAAAAAAAAAAAAAAAAAAAAAATTATATAAAATAAAATAGAGTGAATAACTATATTTTTTTTTAAAAAACATTGTAAATTTTTAACAACTAAAAATATACGTATATTAATATATATATATATATCTTTTTTTTTTTTTTTTTTTTGGTACATAAATATAAATATTTAGATAGTTTTAACAACTCTCATCGTTGCATATAAAGATGTATTTATAATAAAATATGCATTTTGTATAAATAAAAGTATATATATATATATATATATTATTTAAAATAATTATTCTATTTTAATTTTTTTTTTTTTTTCCTTTCTCTTATAAAATATATGCATATATTTTTAAGTTATATTTGCCATGTTTATATTTATTTTTTTAAAATAAAAGTATTAGAATGACTTTTAATGTTGACATTAGAATTCTAAAAGTATTTAGCTACAACACAAAACATAATAATTAAAGAGTGTTTTGATATTTATTATTTTGTATTATTCTAATTCAAAATTATATTTTTAGTTAGAATGAAAAAAAGTTAAAAAAGACATAATATTTATTTTTATTTTTCCTAATGTTCATACATAAAGGAAATATATTTTGTGTGCAAAAACAATTTTAGATAATTTTTTTTTTTAAAACTTTAAAAAAGAAAAAGAGTCAATATTTCATATAAAAAACGTAAAAATATATAAAAAAAAAAAAAATAATAAAAAAAAAAGAATAAAAAGAAAAAGAAAAAAACAGAGATATAAATATATAACATTTAAATGATCAAAGCACTTCATATAAATAGTTAATTTGTTTCAACATTATTATCTATTCTATTTTTTTTTCTGAAGTATTTTTTTTTTTTTTTTCTGTACTTTTTAAATTTTTTATTAATCTCTTTCTTCATTATTTCTTTGTTTTTTTCTAAAAATGAAATTTTTTTTTTTTATATTTATAAATTTATTTTTCTTTTATATATATTTATCTTTTTATTTTTTAAACTTACTTTTTGCATTATCTATTTCATTTCTATCAAGCACCTTTTGAACAACAATTGGCCTATTCTACACAAAAAAAAAAAAAAAATTATAATAAGTATATTTAATGTTAGATAATGAGAAAAAAAAACCTAATAACTAAAATACATCTTATTCTTAAATGTCTATTTATATCAATATAATTTATTTTAATTTTTTTACGTTTATCATTTTTCCATTAAACATCTCAATAGCCTTCTTCACTGAACTTCTATTTTTAAATAAAATAAAAGCTACTCCCTATAAATTACAAATATGTACATTAACGTAATTATTATTAGGTTTAATGTTTTTAATTAAAATTATATAATAAAAAAAATGAAAAATAAATCAAAATTTTTAATGTATTAAATATATTAAGAAGTTATATTATTTTAACCGTAGAACAGCTTGTTATATTATCTCTTAAAATTCGAATTCCTAACAGAATAGAAAAAATGGAAAAAAAGAAAATAATTTTTTTTTAATTTATAAAAAAAATAATATATTTTAAGTTACCTTTTATTTCATCTACGTCTTTCATGAGTTCATATAAATCTTTTTCATTTAGTTGTTTATGTAAATTTCTTATGCATACAGACTTTTTTTTATTAAAAAAACTATTATCTCCAATTCTATTAACTCTTAATACATAACCATCATACACCGTTCCCTTATAAATTATAAAAAAATTAATTATATAAATTAATGAAAAAATAAAAAAAAAAAAAAAGGTAATAGAAAAATTTACATTTCTACTCAAAATAATAGGTACATGGTCTTCTTCCTTTAATGTTATTAATGCATTTTTATTATCTTTAGCATCCTAATTAAATTTTAAAAAAAAAAATCAAAATTAAATAAACATTTTAATTTTTGTTAATATTTCTTCTTATTTTATACTGTAAATTTTTTAAGTATAACTCCTAATTTTTTCTTATTTGCATATTTTTCTTCTAATGGCAATGATCGAAATCTAATCTATAAAATAAAAAAAAATATATATGTATATATATTTTTTTGTCTATATAAATATTAACTATATATATAATAAATATGAGATAAAATAAGAAAAATAAAAATAAAAATAAATATAAATATAAATAAGTTATTACTGATTCAACTAAAGAACGTTTAATATTCAATATCTTTAGTAGTTTTGGGCCTGTTACATTTTTTAAGGGAATATTTCCAACAAAAACAGTCCTCTTATTTTTTTCTAAAGATTCTTTTTTAGAAAAAAAAAATAATAAATAAAAATAAAAATGAAATATCTTCAAAATCAAATTATACAAAAATCTTTAAAAACATTTAAAATTTCTTAAAAAATAATAAATTTATATATATATATATATATATATATGCAAAATATAAAAAATATTATTACTATCTCCATCCTTATTTTGCGGTAAAGGTTTTTTTGATACTTTTAGTTCTTTATCATTACTTGAATTAATATTCATTGTTATTTTCTTATCATTTTTTTTATCATCTAAAAATTATATGAATAAATATTAAGATATAAATATGTATATGCATAATTATGTAATTTTAAATTTATATAATATTAATTATACTTATTTTTGAATCAATTGTTTCATTTTTGTTTAAAAATTCAACTACTGAACTAATTTTTTCTTTTTTAGGCTCATTTTTTGAACTTAATTTCTTTAATATTTTTGACACTTTTGTAGGTTTTTTTTTTGTCTCATTTTGCTTTATAGAATATTTCTTATTTTTTTTAGAAATTTTAGGATAATCCTCTGTCAAATTTTTTGTATTATTTTCATTAGTTCGAGTATCTTTTGTTGAGTTTTCAATAGTATTCTTAGATTTGTTTTCTTTTTTTATCTTATTTTTTTTCTTTTTTTCTTTTATTATTTTTTTTTCTTTTTCAATAGTTTTTTTCTTTATCACAATGGTATTAGAACCAAATATCTTATCCTTGTTCTTTTTCATATTTTTTTTTTTTTTTTATGTTTTTCAATTTAAGCTTTTGAATTGGTAATAATTATTTTCATCACTCAAATAATATTATAAATGTATTTAATAAATATTTTTTTTCTATTTTTTTTCCTTATTATGAATAAAATGTGTTTTAAGTGTAATGTTATATTCTCTTATAATTTAATATTATATTTGTTTAATTAAATAATCTTTTTGCAAAAACATGAAATAAATCTTTTAAAAAAAAAAATTATATAATGTATTAATTATATTTTATGTTTTTATAAATTTTTTTAAAAAATAAAAAATATATACAATCTTATAAAAAATCTCACAAAACAAATAATTTATATTTTTTTATAAAAATAAAAATTTTTTATGATATGTTTTGCTTTTTCAATTTAATATTCTTAAACTCTAATGTTCTATGTTTTTTATTTTTTTGACATTTGTTTTGCAAACTTAAGCAAAAACGACAGTTTTTTTTTTTTTTTTTTTTTTTTTTTTTTTTAATAGTTAAGTAAAAAGAAAAAGGAATTTCAAAAAAATATAAAAAATTAATAGATGAAAATAATATAAATTAAGATTAGTTAATTTTTTTCTTTATCATAATACGGATCTTGAACTACAATTAGTGTATAATCCTTATCAGGTGCTATCATAATTTCATGCTTCTTTGATCGTAGACGTAAAAAGTTTATATCATTCTTTAATAAATATACATAAAAAAAACAAAAAAAAAAAAAATAAAAAAAATAAAATAATAAAATTAGTATTAAGTAAAAAAAGTTATATGAAAAAAAATATAAATATATATATACATAAAAATAAGCACAATAAAAATAATTGATGATAATTATTTAAATAAAAACAATTCCATGTATTTTCTTTAAAAATGTAATATTATCTCCAAGATAATTGTAATATATACATAATGTATTTTTTTTTTTTAAAAAAAAAAAAAATCATATTATTTTTTTTATTTTAACTTGAGGATCTAATTCTCTAATGACATCTCTAGCTTTATTAGACAATTGTGTGAGTAATGAAGCATGTAAATCAGATTGTTGTTGATCAAAAGTACTTTTAATTATTAACCCTTCATTATTTATAACTAAAATTCCTATAACTCCTTTGTGGTTTTTAATTCTATTTAATATTTCTTCTGCTTCATTCTGTATATGAAAAAAATGGGAATACTTATATAAATGAAACCATTATCGTACTATATAAAATTATAGTTGTCTAATATATATATTTGCAATTATTATTATTTAAAAATATCCCTTAAAAATACAATAAAAATAAGAAATATTTTTTTTTTTCTATATATTATTATGTATTTTCTTAAATGAAAATTATCAAAATTTCTTATAGAAAAAAAAAAGAAAAAAAAAATTAAATTCTAATATTATATGTATATATGTAATATATAAAACTTTATTTTTTTTATGTTAAATTATTATTTTATTTAATTATTGTAATTTCTATATTCATTATTAATTAATAAAAAAAATATTTACATTCTTTATTTTATTTTATCTTTCAATTTATATATTTTATTACCATTTTATTATTCTGTTTTTTCTATTCTTTTTTTTTTTTTTTTCGTTAATGTAACTTCTTTAAATAAATATATATTTTCAGAATATAGTTAACATAAATGCATTTTAATTTCTCTATAAAATTATAGTAGTTAATAAAGATAATACATATATATATATAAAATATTTATATATATGCACAATTTTAATAAAGAATATTATTTTTACATTTTATCAAAACAAAATATTTTCTTTAAATATAACACTATCTTTTTTCTCTTTTTAATATAATTATAGAAGGTTCTTTTTTTTTTTTTTTTTTTTTNTNNNTTAATAAATGTGTGCACAGACATTTAATTATATAACTTAAGTAATATTACTTTTTTATATAATATAAATTATTTAAAAAAAAAAAAAATAAAAATAAAAATAAATTTCTATCTATATTTCTTAAGCTAGGCATATATATAAGGAAATTAATAAAAAAAAAATGAAATAAATTTTACACACAAATATGCATGTAATTTCTTTTTTTATTTATATATTTTAATAGAAATTAAAGATTTATATATTTCTTTTAATTTTTTTTTATTGATAAAAATATTTGTTTTTGATAGAATTTTATAAGCATAAACATATATATCTTTGATATTAAAAAAAATTTATTAAAATTAAGAATAAAAAAATAATTTAACATATATATATATAAATAAAAAAAATAATATAAATTAGAACAAAATTAACGTTTTAATAATATTAAAAAAAAAAATTTGCAAATATTTTAATTTCATGTTGTTTTTCCTTTTTTTTTTTTTTATTTGATAGAAATACTTAAAATTAATAAGAGAATATTTTCTAAAGTCTTTCAAAAAACTGATTAGTAGTAATTTACAAAACAATAATGAATTTCGGAAAAATAAAAAATGTAAAAATACAAAACAAACTTAACAAATAATATATAAAATAAATTTAATCAAAATAAAAAAAACAAAAGAATATGTAAATAGAAATAAAAAAGATTTGAAAAGAATTAAAAAATTTTTCTTTATTATTCTTTTGTGTAAAAATAATTTCTTTTCATACATGTAAACATATAGGAGGACAAATAAAATATACTTTTTCTTTAATTTTCTTATTTATATGAGAGAGGTTAAAAATTTCCTTTTATAATTAATTCTCTATATTTTTAACAAAAATTGTATTTAAGGAATTCTAATTATGTTTCTTTTTTTTTTTTTTATTTTTTTCATTTATTTTATCTATTTTTTTAAATAATTAATTTTTTATAAAATATTTTTTAATAAAATAAAATTTTATGAAAAATGGTTCCATAATTATATAAGAATTAAATTAATAATTATGCTTATATATATTAAATGTTCTTATAAATGTTGAAATAAATCAAAAGAATTATTGTTTTTTGACTTCTTTATTTTAGAAAAAATTTTATTACTATTATTATTATTATTATTACTATTAACTTGATACAATGATGTTTTTTTAGAACCTATTAATGTTTGACATTCTTTTCTATTTTTTATTTTTTCAAGTAATCTGGTGATATGTGGTGACTTAACTGAACGATTTTGTATTTTAATACTTTTTCTTATAACACCAGGAGATGTTACATCGAAATAACCAAACTTATACTGATCAGACATTGTATATAATTTATATTTATTCAGATTATTATAAGTATTATTCTTTTGATATGATTTAATATATTCCTTTTTTTTTGAATTATTATTCTGTATTTCATTTCCTTTATCATCTTCTAAATATTTCTTATCACTTTCATTATCCTTATGTTTACTTAATAGTTCTTTATAATAATTTATCAAGTCGTCTTTCTTTTTTAACTCTTCATCAAGTTGTTTGTTTTCTTCATCATTTTTTCCTTTTTCATCTTTTTCAAACTCTTTTTTTTTTAATTCATACTCTTTTTTTATTTTTTCAAAATATTCATCTATTTCTTCTTTCATTTTTTTTTTTTCTACAGAATTTATATCTATTTTATAATTTTTGGAACTATATAAATTTTTTGTTTTTTCATCATAATCTTTATGAAGTTGCATAATTTCTGATTCCGTTTTTTTGCAAATTTCTTTTAATATTTTCTTCGTTTCTTTAATTTCATCATTTTCTTTTTTATAACTGAATTCAAGTTTTTTCATTTCTCCTTTAATATCTAATAAATGTTTTTCAGAATCTTTTTCTTTATTTTTAAGTTCATTTAATTCTTCTTTTTTGGAATTTATAAATATGTCTATTTCATTTTTTTTTTTTTTTTCTTCATCTAGTTTTTCTATTAATTCACAAATTTTCGCATTTATGTTTTGAATTTCTCTATCCTTTTTCCATTGCTCATCTTGTTCTTCTTTAATTTTTATTTTCATTTTTTCTAAAATATCTTCTAAGTTACTTAAGAGATTTTGGTTTTCCTTATAATTTACGTCAATATCAATTCCATTAATATCTATTTTATTTTTCTCATTTAAAATTAAATTTTTAATTTCTTCTTTATAATTTGTAATTTCTTCTTCTATGATATTTTTCTCCTTAGTTAAGTCATTTAACATGTTTTTATTTAACTTTTTCTTTTCATTTTCAATTTGATCATTTAAAATTTTCTCTTCATTCTTTAATCCTATTAATTCTTCTTCTTTTGTTTTTAGTCCATTTCTTAATTCATCTAATTTTATATGTAATTCATTAAATTTATCATTTTCTTTTCTTTTTTCTTCATCTATTTTTTCTATCATTATTAATAAATTATTAATTTCCGTTTCAATATTTTCTTCATTTTCCTCTAGTTCTTTTTTTGTATTTAGTGTATTATTTAAACCAGAATTGATTACATTTAAATAATATTCTTGTGATGATATTTGATTTTCTAAAAATTGTAATTGTGATTTTATCCTTAAGTTATTAGATACTAATTCATTCTTTTTAATTATTAAATTTTCTTTTTGAAATTTTAATTCTTTTTCTTTTAATATTAACTTATCATTTTTTTCATCCTGAAAGTAAAAAAAAAAAAAATATATATATATATATATATATACAATTAAAATTAATTCCATTATAAAATATTAACACAATTTACAAAGTTAATAAAAATTATATACACATGTAATGAACAATTTTATTTATTTAATTATTTTTTTTTTTTTTTTTTTTATTATTATAAAATAACCAGTTCACTTTTTTGATTAATTAAATTTTGTCTACATATATTTATACTTTCCTTATTTTCATCTATATTATTTATTATACTGTCTTTTTCATCACCTAATTTTTTTAAATCATTTTCTAATAGATTAATTTTTTCATAATTTAAATTGGTTAAAATATTAAATGATTCAAATGCTTCCTTATGTTGATTAATTTGATAATCTATTTCTTTTATTTTGTTAGTCATATTTACAGATTCATTATTCATAAAATTTATATGATTTACCGATTCTTGTAGTTCCTTTTTTATTTTTTCATATATTTCTTCTTTTTCTTTCATATATAATAATTCTTTTTCTTCATATTTTTTTAAAATTTCTTTAGTTTTTTCTGCATCTTCGTTTTTCTTATTTATCATTACTAATGAATTACTAAATGTTTTAAAAAGAATATTAAAATTTCCACATGATTCAAGAAAATTTATATTTGTTTCATAATAGTAATCACAACTTCTCTTACAAACATCTCCTATTTTTTTTAAAAAAATATATTCACCTTCTACTTCTTTTTTCTTTGTTTTATTCTGAGATTCTAACAAAGAAACTTAAAAAAAAAAAAAAATAAAATAATAAAAAAATATGAATGAAAATTAGAAATAACTAAAAATAAAAGGCATTCACAAAAAAAAAAAAAAAAAATGAAATAAATGATGTTAAAAAAAAAAGATATAAAAAAGGGTTTTTTTGCTAATATTAAAATACTTTTATTTCTAGAATTTTCTGTTAATTCTATAAGACTATCCATTTTAGAGTTAAATTCTTTATTTACAGTATTTTTCCCACGAGAAGATATATTCGTCATATCTATATGATTTTTATTTGTTGAATTTTCTATTCCTAATAGATAATTTCCATTTAAAATCATTTTTAAAAAATTATATACAACTTTATATTTATATATAATAATAATATACTATAAAATAAACAAAAAAAAAAAAAAAAAAAAAAAAAAAAAAAAAAAAAAAAAAAAAAAAAACAAACAAAAAAAAAAAAAATAAAAAAAAGACTTTTGTGTTTATAGGTTTTTATTAAACTATAAAAAAAAAAAAACAAATAAAAAATTTTTTTAAAAAAGACATATGAAAACAGAAAAAAAATCAATAAGAGATAATAAATGATTATATTAATATAAATGAATAAATTTAGAATTCTTTAAAAATCTATTTAAATATTTAAAGTAAGTTCGTATATTTCTATCGAATGGTAAAAGTGTATATACAAATTCATATACGAACATAAAAAAAAAAAAAAAAAAATATATTTTTTCATTGAAACATATATGGAATTTTATCAAGTAAAAAATATAAAAAAAAAGAGAATAATAAATTAAAAGAATTTTTTCTTTTCATCTTTTTATTTTCAAAAATTATTAATAGAAATATGGAAAAGATGTATATATTAAAAATACCTTTTATAAAGATACTATATTCTTCATATACATTTTATAAATTAATATTCTAATATAATGATATGTAATACTAATTATTTTATAATCTTTATAAATATAGTTTTAAAAAAAGAATTTTAGAATATATTTTTTATTTTTTCTTTTTTCTTATAATAAAAAAATAATAACGTTTAACTCATTGAAAAGAACTAAAATATTAGTTTTAAATTTAAATTCATTTTATTATATTTATAATAAATGAATAAAAAAAAAAATAATAAACCTTTTCGTATAAAATTTAAATAAAAGGAATGTAAAAAAAATTACTTTTTTATTTATATTTTTGTGTTATTGTTATTTATTCTGTAGAAAAATTCTATAGTAAAATGAGTGTTCTATCATATATAAAAATATATTTAAAAAAAAAATACAATTTTTCTTTCAAAAAATTAACAATTTCTTTTATAGAATAAAAAAAAAAATGGTAGAATAATATCTATATAAATATTTATACATATATAAATATAAAATAATAACAAAAGATAGTAGTCTACAAAAAATTATTTTTCTGTTAAAAATAATATCTCACATTTTCAACATAATTATATCTATTTTAATAAAAAGTAATAATATTTAAAATATTTATTATCCTTAATTCATTATTTCTCCTTTAACATAGAAATATATTTCTAGTCTTTCATTAGTTTAAAATTTGTTCATAATATTTTCATTATTTTAATAATTAGATCTTATCTTTCAAATCTTAATATTTTAAAATAATTATGTTATAAAAATTCATATTCAATTTTATAAAACTGTTATATGCATATATACAGAAAATAAAATATATATATATATATATATATTTTTATTTAATGTGTGTGAAAATATTTTTCTAATTTTACATTTATTGCATTTTTTATTTTATTTTTTTTTTTATAATTTTTATTAAATATTCAAAGTCTTTAATTTAGAAAGTTCATTTAAAAACATTTTAAAGACTAAGATGATTTTCATCAAATTAAAATAAATTTATATTTTTAATTTAAAAAAATTATTTTTCATAAAATTTTTTTTATTTTTCGAAAAAATTTTACCTATTGGAAAAATACATTTATTAAAATAAAAATATAAATTTATATTTACAAAATAACAAAAAAATATGTTATCTTTTTATTAAGAGACTAATTAGTTTTTTTTTTTTTTTTTTTTTATTAAAATATAAAAAATATACATAAAAAATAATATAAACATATACTATTTGAAAACAATAAAATACATATTTATGAAAAATAATTCATTTTCATATATATTTATCAAGACAACTTAGATTTTTTCTTTTCATTTTAATATCATTAAATTTTAAGTTAACATATATGTATAATTATATTAGAACATTAAGACATTTATTTTTTTTTTTTTTTAGTGAATATATATATATATATAGTCTTTTTGTATAATATCTAATTCTTATAAGAATAAAGATAATCAACACATAAAATTAAAAAAAAACAAAAAGAAAATAAGGAATAAGTTAAATTAAAATTAACATATTTCAAAAGTGAGATTACATGTATTTGTAGTAAAAAAAAAAAAAAAAAAAAAAAAAAAAAACATACCAAATTGAGTAATAAAAAACAATGGATGATATTTCAATGTCTAATATTTTAAAACCAATTGATGAAGAAGAAAGAATACATCTACAAAACAAATTGAATGAACAAAGATTAGAGCTAGAAGAAAAGAAAAAATATTTAGAAGAATTAAAAAAACTAAATGAAAAAGCAGAAGATATATCAGAATTGCAAAATAATGATTATCCAGATCCTGATAAAATTCTTGAAAACTTTTTAGAATCTTTAGAAAAAGATGAACACGAAATAGAAGAATTACAAGAACAACGAAAAAATACAGATATAAAATACTTAGATAAGCATTTAATAAGTAGTAATATATCAAATGATAAATTTTACAATAAGCATAATTCTTTAGAAGAACATATGGAACAATCGTTTATTTTTAAAAAAAAAGCATCTGTAAAAAATTTTAATTTTAAAATTAACAAATTAAATGAAGCAAAAGTCATAAATGTTGAACAAAAAAATATAAAGAAATTTAATAAATCAATTCAAGTTAACATAATTGATGAAAAAATTACTACTTTTGAAAAGAAAAAAGAAGAGATAACTACATTATTATTACATGAAAATTATCCAATATATATAAATAAAGAAGAAAAATTAAATAATAATAATAATAATAATAATGATAATAATAATAATAATAGTAATATAGTAAATGATAAAAAAAACGTTATATTAAAATCAAAAAAAAAAGAAAAAAAGGTAATGAAAAAAGTGGACCAACAAAAAAAAGACAAGAAAAAAGAAGAAGAAGAAGAAGAAAAAGAAGAAGAAAAAGAAGAAGAAAAAGAAGAAGAAAAAGAAGAAGAAAAAGAAGAAGAAGATGAGGATAAGGATGAAGAAGAAATAAATAATGATAAAAAAGATAAAACAAGTAAAACTATAAGTAAATTAAAAATATCAAAAAAAAAGTCTTTAGATGAAGAGAAAAAGAAAAATATATTAAAGAGTAATAATTTCATAAAATTTATTGAAAATACTTCAAAAATAATTGAAAGAACTTTAGGAGAACAAGAAATGTTTAATACTATGTTTGACTTTGTAGCAAAAGATTTATCAGATGAATCAGAAAGTTTAGAAAAATTAAAATTATTAAATACTTATTATTGTAAAAAATATACAGGTGCAAGACCTATAACAGATATTAAAACCTCTAATGTATATAGTGAATTATTTTTAGCTTCTTATGGAGCATCAGAAACAGCTAGTTATACAGATCCTGATGGATATGTTTTAGTGTGGAATACAACTATGAACAATAGGCCAGAGTATGTATTTACCTCACAACCAGCTGTATGTACAGCTTTATTTAATAAATTTAATCCTCATTTAATAATAGGGGGTACTTATACAGGTAATATTGTTTTATGGGATATTCGAGCTAGAGAAAAACCAGTACAAAAAACCTTACTTTCATCAAATGGACATTTACATCCAATTTACTGTGCAGAAATTATAGGAACACAAAATGCACACAATCTTGTAACTGTTGATACAGATGGGAGATTATGTAATTGGTCGTTAAATATGCTTACATGTCCATCAGATACAGTTGATTTAAAAAGAGGAAACAGAGAAGTGTCATGTTGTTGTTTTTCATTTCAAGAAGGAGAAATAAATACTTTATATGGTGGTGCGGAAGATGGTTCTTTATTTCAAGCACAAATACACGGAACAAAAGTGGGAATAACAGAATTTTATAATATTCATCATGGACAATTAACAGCTACTCAATTTCATCCATTAATTGAAGGAACCAATGATCATAATGACCTTATATTAACAGCTTCAGTAGATTGGACATGTAATTTATTAAGTATAAAAGATCCAGCAAATCCATTATTTACCTTTGATTCATTTGAAGACTATTTAATGGATATTAAATGGCATCCTGTACATCCAGGAATTTTTGCAACATGTAGTAGCAATGGAAAAATAAAATTGTGGAATATTTCTTATGATTTTGAATCTCCTTACTTTGAAACTAGCATTAATGAAAAATCTACAAATAAAATATCATGGTCATATGAAGGAAAAAAATTAATAGCTGGAGATTCAGATGGCTATTTAACCCTGTGGAATACCTCAAGTGAATTATATCAACCAAGATCAGAAGATATCACTAAATTTGAAAATAAAATCACAAAAATGAAATCAGATAGAATTGCAACCAATATTATAGAAACTGAAATTTAAAATATATAAAAATTTTATTGTAATTAGAATGCTAATTTTTTTTTAATTTTTCTTCTCTTTTATTACATATATTTATAAACTATATATATATAAATATATTTTTTTTTTTTTTTTTTTTTGTTATTACAATGATTTATGTTTTTTTTTCATATTACCTAGGTGTATTTTTTTTTAATTTTTTTTTTTTTTTTTTTTTTTTTTTTTTTTTTTTTTTTAATATGAAAAAAAAGAGCAATGATAAATAAACATAAAAATTATACGAATTAGTAACTAAAACAAAAAAAAAGTAAAAAAAAATTAAAAAGGACAATAACTTTTTGCATTTTTTAAAAATTTTTAAAGTATTATATTTTTTTTCTGCATATTTTTGAAATAAATATTCCCCTACATAAATCTTTTTCTGGAAATGTTCTCACACATTTCTTTGAAAAATCATACTTATAATTATTATAAAGAAATTTATCTTTTCCAGCTTTTTTTAAATAAAAATCAGAATTCTTTTGTAGTACTTCATGTATAACCTGCTCATTTTCTTCTTCAAATAATGAACATGTAGAGTATATGAAGGTGTTAGAACCTTTTAATTTTACCAAAGCATGAGTTAATATTTGTTTTTGAAAGTCAGATAACTTTTTCACCTTATCTTGAAAAATAGAAGGAACTTTTGGGATCATACTTTTTGACATTGTTTCAGATATGCAATTTTTACTTTCCTCCTTTCTATTATATAATTCATTTATATTTTTCATTTTAGAGATATTACTAAATTTATTTATATTTTCTGTGTTTTTTTCATTCTTTGTTTTATTGGTTTTTATCATAATACTTCTATCATGTTTTTCATTTTTATCTGAAAAAATATTTTCTATATTTCTTTTATATACAAAATCAGGCATTCCGCTAGAAGAACATGAAGGATCAATAAATACAACATCTATGTTATCTGGAAAATCTTCAGAACTTAAATTTAGAAAATCACAATTATATATTTTTATCGTTAATTCATTATGTTTATGTTTTATATAATAAATATTATGCTTTTTATTATTTAAAAAATTATGTTTATTAAGAGCAATTTTTTCACTTTCATTAAAGCGTTCATTTAGATATAAACCATCATATTCTCCGATTTTTAAAATTTCATTCAATAAAGTAAAACATCTTTTTTTATTTTTTTCTACACATATTAAATATCCTTTTTTTTTTAAGGAAATAAGACTAAATATAGCTTTACTACCAGGAGAAGAACATATATCAACAATAACCATTCCTTTTTTTATATGTCCTGCTTTTACAACTAAGCAAGATGTTTTATCAATTATCCTTATTTTATTTTCTCTATAAAAAGAACTATCTATTAACATTTTTACCTTATCATTATTTATTTTATACAGATTTTTTATATCTTCATCTTGTACAATTTGTAAACTTTTGGTTAATTCTTCTTTTATACTTATATCATTTCCATATATTAAAAAATATTTCCATATAATCTTTGTTTGTAAAATATTATTATTATATGATTCCCCTTGAATTTTTTTATAAAAATTCAAAATTTCTTTTTCTTTTTTTTGAATTTCTCTTTTTAATTTTCCACCACCATCTATTTTATGTCTATGAACTAATACACTCAAAAGAATAATTCCCAAAAATTTATTTTTACATATTTTAGATAAATAAATATTGTAAATTTTATCTAATATATTTAAATCTTCTAATGCATTATATAATATAGAATACAACTAAAAAAAAAAAAAAAAATATATATATACATATATATATATATTTATATATATATATATATGTTTATGTATAAACAAAAGAAAAACAGTAATTTTTGATTCTCAATTATTTTACTTTTTTAACTGATTTATCTTCTTTTTCAAGTAAAACTTCTTTTATTCCTTCTCCTTTAGAACATTTTAATAACATTTGTGCCGCTTTTCTATATAGAAATGACATTTTTTTTTTTTTTTTTTTTCTTCTTTCTTAAAAGAATATATTTTATTTATCTACATCTTCATATAGTAAAAATAAATATGTTTATCTAAACTTATAAATTTATCAGATTAAAAATGTTACATTTTTAAGTTATTTTTATGTTATTTATAAAATACTTATTTAACATCATTCTGTATTATTTTTATTTAAAAAAAAAAAAAAAAAAAAAAAAAAAAAGGAAAATATTTTTTATTAATATATTGTACAATAAATAAAATTGTAAAATAAAACGTGTTATGAAATTATTTAAAAAATATATATATAAAAAAAAACATATACATATATATATACCTTCAAAAAAAAAAAAAAAAAAATTTAGTTAAGAGAACTATTTTTTATTAAAAACAATAAAATGTTATTTTAAAAAAAAAAAAAAAAAAAAAAAAAACCTTTTTTATTAAATGTAAAAAAAAATGCTAAGAAAAAAATTCCCTTTTTTTTTAACAAAAAGATACATAACTGAACAAAAAATTTTTGATAAATTAAAAAAGCTACAAAATATTAATGAATGTGAAAATTTAAAAAAAAATGAAAGTGAAAAAATTGAAATAATTAATATTGATGATAAAATATATGAACATACTATGTTTAAAAATTCAGAACAATATGAAAATGAAAAAGATGAAGAATTTTATGAGAATATTAAATCTTTAAAGAATATGAATATAAAGAACTTTATTGAGGAAACACTTGATTATTATTGCTCAAAACAGTTTAAAGAAAATGAATGGACAAATGAAAATATAAATAAATTTAAAGATATATATGATACTAAAAATTTGAATAAAACAATTTCTAATGAAGACATAGAACCAGAAAAGAAAGAGAAAGAAAAATGCACAAACGAAAATTCTTATCATATAAAGGAACATAATCATTTAATAAATGAAAATATGAAAAATGAAAAATTTAAAGATAAATATGAAAATTTAACTCCAGCACAAAAATTTTTTGAAGAAAACAAGGAAAAGCTAATATATGAAAGCTTAAAATTATATAATGAAAAAAAAACAAAATTAAGTGATAACGAGAATAATCACGATTATTATAATTATAGTAACGATCCAATTGTGAGACTTAGTGAAAACTACCTATTTGATTACGAAAATGATGAAAATGACGATATGAAAGAAAACTTAGAATTAGAAAAAGGGATAATGCCCACAATAGAACAAGTAGTTTGTATATTAAAACACGAAAAAGTTAAAAATATTAAAGTAATAGATTTAAATAAATGTGGAAGAAGAGATATTGGTATGTTTTTAATTTTATGTACAGGAGAAACAGCAAAACATAATAAAAAAGTAGGAAAATTAATAAGTAAAATTTTTATTGATTTAGATATACCATATATATCTAATGTAGTATATTGTTATTGTAATAAATTTGATGATTGGATAATAAGTCATTGTGGCCCTTTAAAAATTCATATTGTAACAAAAGAATTAAGAGATTTTTATGATATAGAAAATTTATTTTTATATCCACATGAACATTTTGATAGTCAACATTTCCCATCTTTTTTTGATTACACCCCTGGTATACCTCCACCTTATTTAGTTAGAAGCAATGAATCTTTAGATGCTTATCAAAATGATGTAATATATCAAAAATTTATTTCTGACACTTGATTAATAATAAAAGTGAAAAAAAAAAAATTAAAGAATAAGAAATGTAACAAATTTTTATAAATTTTTATAAATATTTTTAAAAAAAAAAAAAAAAAAAAGATATATTATTATAACTCTTATTCATACATTTATATGTATTATCTTTAAAGAAAAAAATAGGTAATAATAAAATTATATATATATTATACTCTATGAATAGAATATGAAGACATAAAAAAAAAAAAAAAAAAAAAAAAAATTATATGTGGAAAAAGGAACGCTTTTATAAATATTATTGTATTATTATATTCCTCCAATAAAAAAAATAAAAAAAAGGAAAATATATGTTCTTAAATTATAGTAATATTTATGTAGTGTTTTAGTTATTTTTGAAACTAAAAAAGTAATTAATCTTTGTTATAAAATTTAAGATAATGGAAGAAGTTAAACAACGAAAAAAAATTTTAATTGCAGAAAATTTAAAAGATACTAAGGAAAAAAGAGTATTAAGGAAAAAAAAAAAAAAAAAAAAAAAATTTTATAATATAAATAATCTGAAATAAACAATATAATTTATATATTTTTTATATATATTAATATAAAATTTATAAAAAAAATTTCGATGAAATGTACCATTATAACATTTTTATAATCAACATTTTAGATTTTAAAAAAATTTGAAGAAATAAAATCAAAATGGGATAAGCAGAGTAAAATAATAAAAGAAAAAACAAAGAAAAAAGAAACTTTAGCAGATCAAGGAGAAAAATATAGAGAAAAAAACGAAGTAATATATATATATATAAAATATATTGCTTATAATGTATTATTTTAATATTTCATCCTTTATATTTATATGGTTTATTTTTATTTTATTTTATTTTATTTTATTTTTTTTTTTTTTATCTAAAAATATTAGTTGAATGTTTTGATTGACTATTTAAATAAAGAAGAAAAGAAAAAAAGTAATTGGTTAGAAAATTTAAGATATGGATGTGAAAAAATAAAATTCAAAGAATCCATTAAAAAAATAGACTTGAATAACAAAATATCTAATAATAATAAAAAGTTATTTAATAAAATATTTGAAAAAAATGAAGAAAAAGAAGAATTAAATGAAGAAAATTATAATAAAAATAAGGATATGAAGAAAGAACAATATGAAGGAATAATTATTGAAAAAATTAAAAATAATTTAGAATTCGTTTTATCAAATTTTGCGTTACCATTAGATAATAGTTTCCTTATCAAAGGAGATAAGATAGATATAAATGAGTTCCACAAAGAAAATAATATTCAAATAAATGATGAAAAAGATTTAATAAATAACGAATTAAAATATGAAAAAGAAATAACATATAGCAAGTGTGATAATTTAAATAATAGTAATATTGATAATAAATCAAATGAAGAAGAATACTTAAAAATAAGTAGTTCTTTTTTAGAAGTTAAAAATAATGGGAAGGAAATTATTAACAAATATATTATTTTAACAAATTGTTCTTCAAGTGTAATTATTTATCAAATTACTTCTAAAAAAAAGATAAAATTAAAAAATGAAGTTATACATTTAAAAGATGCTATATATTTTGATAATGATAAAAACTATATTGTTTTTATATCTCCAAATATCGGATATATAAAACCTAAAGAAAAAATAAAAATAAATTTTACTTTCATTTTTAATTATTTTGTAAATAGTTTTGGTTGTTTCACTATAAAATACTTATATAATAATAAAATTTTCAAAAAATATATTTTCCTTAATGTTGATTCTTTTTATAATTTAATTGAATTAAAAAAAAAAAATAAAAAGAAAAAAAAAATGGAAATTGAAAATTACAATTTGTGTGGAACAAATTCAAAAAGTCAAATAGAGAATTTAGATATAAGAAAATTATGTAAAGCTATCAATTTTATAAATTTTAATTATTATTTAAATATAAATGAAAAAAATATTATTTATTTTTTTAAAATAATAGAAGAAATGAATTACAATTTTTTTATAAAATTAAAACGTCTTATAAGAGAAGAAATATCTGATTATACAAATAATAATGGTAATAATAATTATAAAAATAACAAATATAATGATAATAATAATTATGAAATAAAAAATAAATGTAATAATAATTTTAAACAAAATAATATTAGCAACTTAATAGAATCTGAAAAAAACATCTATGATGATAATATTTTTTTTCAGAGCAAATCTGAAATAACTTTTTCCAGTGAGAAATGTGATTGTTTCAAGAAAATCGACAAACATTATATTTTAAAAAATTGTTTAAAGAGTTTTTTTAATTATATGAAATTTAAATTATCTTGTTTTTTTAATATTTATTCATTATCGTATGATTTGAATTTTTTTAAAAGTCATTTTCTTGTGACAAGATCAACTTTTATTTTCAATAATTTAAATTTAAATACACTTATAAATGATTTGAAGGAAAATTATAATAAACATAATGAGAAAAAATTAGAAATATATGATAAAGATGACTTTAAAAATTATAATAAATCTACACTTGAAAGTATTTATAATTTCTTCATTAGCACATATGAAAAAATTAATTATAAAAAGGAAAATTTTTTTTGTTTATTTACTTTTAATATATATGAATATGTAATAGAATTAATAAATTCTTATAAAAATTTTAAAAAAAATTATAAATTTAATAAAAATGTTATGTTCATAAAGAACGAAATTTATAACAAACAAATATCTCAATATTTAAAAGATAATGATAGCAATCATAAAAAAAATAAAGTGAGTAAAACAGAAGAAAAAGAATTTCGTGATTTTCTGAATAAAATAAGTTATAATTATCATATCAATATAATGCATACACTTCCTAATATAATTATTAATAATTATCTTAATTTTTTTATAAATTTCATATATTTACAAAATAAATTAAATATTTCTCCAACTTTTTATTTTTTTTATTATTTTCAAATTGTGAATTATATTCAGAATTTATATATAAAAAGAAATACATTTTATAAATGTACAGAAGAAAATGTTTTTATTGATATAAATAATCAATTGCTATGTGAAATTTTTACATATATATATACTCTATACAAAAATAAAGAAAATAACAATAAAATTAATGAAATAAAAGAAGTTGTTTTTTTTTTATTTTCTTCAATTTTTATATATGTAAGACAAAATATAAAAAATTTATATATTTTTTTTGATATTCATCTTTTTTACAATCATATAAATAAAGAGAAAAATAACCTATTTGAAGAAGAATTTTATGAAAATGTTTTTTTTCAATTTTTTTTTCCTTATTTAAGAAATTTTATTTCACAAATTTCGAGTTTAAAGTATGAATTACACTTCTTAAAAAATTCTGATGATATATTACAATTTTGTGAAAATTATTTCTGTGATGAAAAATATAAAAAAGAAGAAAAAGGGAATGAAGAAATAGATAAAAATAGTGTAAATGAAAAAGTTGAAATAAATACAGACAATTTTAATAATGTAGATTCAGTTAAAAACATAAATTTAAATAATCTAAAAGAAGAAAAAATTAATTTTATTAATAATTTTCATATTGACATTGAATATAGTGATATTTTTGAAAAAAATAATGATAAAATTTTTAAAAAAATGAACATTATTAATAAAAATATGGATGGTCATATATTTTTTATTTTCGATAAAAAGTTGTTTTCCAAAACAGTTTATGAATACTATTTTGAAAACTTAAAAAAAAAAGTAGAGTTAAATTTATTATATTTGAAGAATATATATAGCAATAAAATAAAAATATGTGAAGAAGAGAAAGGTGAAAATAGTGTCACTAATTTAGTAATAAATGAAGAAAAAATTAAAAAAAAAAAAAAAATAAAAGGAAAAGAAAAAGAAAAAGAAAAAGAAACTACTAACGAGAACGAATATGATAACAAAGAACCAAATTCAGAAGAAGAAAAAAAAAAAAGAGAAAGGGAAAAAAAAAAAAAAAAAAAAAAAAAAAAAAAAAAAAAAAAAAAAAATTTAGAAAAGGATAATGATAATAATTTACATGTTATACGTAAAAATGAAGAACAAAAAATACAAAAAGATATAAAAGAAGAAAATAAAGAATTTATCAATTATTATTTTATAAAAATATTTGAAATTTTAAATGTGAGTACATATATTTTAGATAATAAAAAGATTATTAGTAATATAATAAACCTCAAATTTTCCAAAAACGTAAATATAAAAGTAGGACCCATTTTAAATAAAGAAATATATTTTATTTTATTTATATGTAATTTAATATCAGTTGAACACTTAAATCATTTATATAAAAATTTTAAAAATTCAAATTATTACCTATTTAGTGATTATATTGAATATAATAGAAAAACTATTATAATTCTATTTAAAGAAATTCTCCAATATTTTAATCTTGAAAACAATATGAATAAGAATAATTTTTTAATGAAGATTCCTCTTGACACAAATTTTGATTTCTTATTTATTCATTTAAATAATTTAAAAGGAGACAAAAAAAAAAATATGGAAGAAAAAGATGATGAAAAGAAAAATGAAGAAGAAAATTATGATGAAAAGAAAAATGAAGAAGAAAATTATGATGAAAAGAAAAAGGAAGAAGAAAAAGATGATGAAAAGAAAAATGAAGAAGAAAATTATGATAAAGAAAAAATTTCTTTAGAAGAAGATGATGAAGAAAGCTGGATTACAGGATTTAACAGAATAAATTTAAAAGAAAAAAAGGAAGAATATATGCAAATTTTAAAAAATAATGTAAAAAGAGAAGAAATGAAATACATTTGTATCATTTCACCAAATATAAAAAATTTTTCTTTAAATTTTTCAAATATGAAAGAAATTATTGAATGGATAAAACTACTGAACCTAATAATATTTTTCAATATTTCTGACGTTTATATATATGGTGATTTATTTTTTTTATTTTTGTTTTTTATATATGATAACCATATAATAAAAGGAAAAAAATGTAAGAGCATAAATGGTACTTATATTAAATTAGAAACGAATAAAAATATTAAGAGAAAAAAATATTATGAAGAAATAGAAAATATATGTAATTCAAATAATAATGATGATATTTATTTACAAATTTTAGATATACAACACTTTCCTCATAATTTATTATTACTATTAAAGATTAGTATATTTAATATTATTAATTTATATAAAAAATATAAAATAAATATGCATTTTCCTTTTGATATATTTATTAAATCAAAAAAAATTATAAATGATTCTTCATATTCCTTATACTGTTTATTACCTTATAAAAACTATGCATCGATGATAAATGCAGCCAAAAAAAATTTTCATAATAAGTATAAAAATAAAATGAGTAAAACGAATTTTTTTGAAAATAAAAATCAGAGACATTATGTAAACTCCTGGAAAAAAATATATTTAAATGAAAAAGAAAATGAAGAAGCATATTTAATTAAAAATAATTTTGACGTTAAAAAAGAGAAAAAAGAAAAGGAAGATTATTACAAAAAAAATATTGAACAAATTGATGAAAACTTTGAAATTACTTCATTATCAGAAAAATTCACAAAAAAAGAAAATAACTTAAAAAATGATCTAATTATAAATATATGCTTATTAAATATAGGAAAACTAACTGTAAATAACATCTTAATAAATATAAAAAAAGAAAATAAAATATTATGGTTATGTGGGTCTTTTGAAAAATATATAAAAGAAAATTGTGAAAATAGTTTAAAAATACTTGAATATTTTTTAAATTATTCTTCAAATGATGATAATATAATACATGTAAATAATTTGATTATATTAAATAAAAAGATTTATTCTTTATATTATTATCATATATCAAAAAAAATAAACATAACATTTTTATTTAACAATTATAAATTTTTAATAAAATTATTTGATAGAAAATATTCCAAAAGTGATATGTTATCTTTAATTATTTGATATATTTTGCCTTTCTACATAATTTTTAGAAAATACTTAAAATTATTTTTATAACCATTTTTTTTCCACTTTTTTTTTTTTATGTTATTTAAACTTTTACATTTTTACTTTTCTTAAATTTTTCAGTTTATCTTTCTTTATGCTTGATTTATAAATTTTTATTTGTATAATTATTATTATTATATCTTTTATTAAACTTTTTTTTCTAAATTTAATTTTTTCTGCTTTTTTTTTTTTTTTTTTTTTTTTTTTTTTTTTTAGTGTTGTTTATTTGTAATATACTTAACATTTTATCTGAATAACTAAAAGAATAAAATTATAATTTAAAATATATATATATATATAAAATATAAAAAAAAAGTGACATTCAATTAAATTAAAAATACTTAATACATTAAAAAAAAAAAAAAAAAAAAAAAATATATTATTCATCACATATATTTACAATTTTTTTATAATATTTTATGTTCTACGAGAGGTATTTTTTTTTTTTTTTTTTTTTTTTTTTTTTTTTTTTTTTTTTTTTTTTTTATATATATCTATTTTTTTTTGACTTCATAAAAATTATATTATTAAAAAATATAAATTCAATTTTTAAAATATTATAGAAAACATATTCACAAAAGAAATAAGAAAATAAAATATATATTAAATGTTTTATGATAAGTATATATATTTCTTTCATTTTTATTATTGTACCAATAAGTTTGATAATTAAAATATATACATATTTGATATCATTCATTACGGTTATATATTTTTATAAAAGTGAAAAATTAAAAATATTTTTGTTATTTTATTATAGTTATAAAAGATTAACTTTATATAATTAACATATTCACTTATATAGTAAATTATATTGTGAGTTAAAATTTTTATAATAATTTGTTCTGTTTTAATGTAGATATAATGAAAAAAAAGGTAGATAATAGAATAAAAATATTGGTTGAAAACAATGTAGCATTGGGTCAACGAAGTATGTTTTTAGTAATAGGAGATCAAGGAAAAAATGTAGTTGTAAATTTTTATTTTTTATTAAGTAGGTTAGTTAGTAGATCGCATAATATATTATGGTGTTATAAAAAAAAATTAGATTTTTCAACAAGTAAAAAAAAAAGATTTCGTGAGATGAAAAAAAAAATAAAAAAAGGGACATTTGATGCAACTGTTGATAATAATTTTGATTCTTTTTTAAAAAATACAAATATAAGATTTTGTTTTTATAAAGAAACTAAAAAAGTTTTGGGAAAAACATATTCAATATGTGTTTTACAAGATTTCTCATATATAACACCAAATATTTTATGCAGATGTATTGAAACAGTAATTGGTGGTGGAATCATTATTTTTTTAATTAATAAATTAGATGAATTAAAAGATATTTATAATTTAACACTAAACTATCATAAAAAGTATACAATGAATGGAATATGTAATGCATATAATAATTATATTCATCGTTTTTTTCTTTCTTTAAATAAATGTAAAAATGCTATGTTCATTGATGATGAAATGAATATATTACCACTGAATGATAATCATTTGCATATAAAAAAAATTACAAATAATTTCAATAATGATTCAATAAAAGAAAATAATATGAATAATTTTCAAAATAAGGAAAACTTTTTAGTTACCGATAGAAAATCAGCAACATTAGGTGGATTTTTGTGTCCTGATAAAAATTTATTAGTAGAAAAATTGAAATTTTTAGAAAATATATGTGAAGAAAATGAAAAAAAAAAAGAAGAAAAAAAAATATTTTTATACTCTTCAAAATTTTATGATGGAGAAAATTCAAAAAAAGATGAGAATGACAATATTACTACCAATAATGATAGTAATAAATTTATGTATAGTTTTTTAGATAGAAATATAATGAATTTGCTAAATATATGTTTAAGTATTGACCAATTAGAAATATTGTTAAATATGTGCAAAATATTAAGAAATGATGAAGAGAAAAAAAAAAATATAAAAGAAATTATTTTTAGTTTATTAGCTAATAGAGGAAGAGGAAAATCAGCTACATTAGGTTTGTTATTATCTTTAAGTATTTATTTTAACTATAGTAATATCATTATTACTTCAGGAAATAATGATGGAATTCAAACCGTTTTTGAATTCTTAGATAAAGGGTTAGATATTTTAGGTTTTAAAGAATTTAAAGATTACGAAAAGATATATGAGATGAACAAAATAAAAGAAATAATAATTTTTAAAAACATAAAGTACTTAAAACAAAGAATAAGGTATTTAGATATAATTGAAGACGAAATTTTAAATTGTGAATTAATGATAATTGATGAAGCTGCATGTATTCCTATAGATATTTTAAGGAATAAAATAAAAGGGGAAATAACTATTTTATCAACTACTTTAAATGGTTATGAAGGAACAGGAAAAACTTTTACATTCAAATTATTGAAACAGTTAAAGAAAAGATTCGTCACACAATTGACATATGAAGAATTCAAAAATATGAAATATTTATACTTCGATAAAGCTTTTGTTGACTTAAGTTTAAATAATCCCATAAGATATAGCTTCAATGACGAAATAGAAAACTGGTTAAATAATTTTTTATGTCTTAATTGTAATGAAGTTTCAAATTTAAAAGATAATTTATGCGCACCTCAAAACTGTCAATTATATTTTGTGAATAAAAATATTTTTAAAAACTATAATAGTACTAGCGAAAATTTATTGAAAAAAATTATGACTTTATTTGTGACATCTCATTATAAAAATACGCCAAATGATTTAATTATGATATTAGATTCACAACAACATCATTTATTTATTCTTATTAACAATAATTCATCGACTGATAATATTGATAAAATAGATATATATGGAGTTCTTCATTGTGCTATCGATGGTATTATTAACCAAAATAAAATAAAAAAAGCTGTTAAATTAGAAGATATTGTTGATATAATGAGAAATAACAAAATAAATGATCAAACTGAACCTAATCAAAATTATTTAAATGGATATGATAGAAATATAAATAAACACATTAATGGTACTCATAAAGATAATGATAAAAATGTTATTAATTGCATAAATGAAAATAGTATTAATTATTCAAATGATAGAAATAACAATGATTCATCTCAAATAGAAAAAAATAACATACTGAAAAATAATGATTTATTAAATAAAGAATTTGAAGGAAATTTAATACCATATATAATCAGTGATTATTTTGATTTTTATTTTTATAATTATATTGGTATACGAATAGTGCGTATTTCTATTCATCCATCAATACAAAATTTGAATTACGGTTCTGAATTTTTAAAGAAAATTTATGATTACTATAATATTTATAATTCAAAAGATAGAAAAGAAAATTCATACTATAATGAAAACATAATTTTATATAGTTGTAGTGGAAATAATATATTTTTTGATGAAAAATTAAAAAAAATTGATTATATTGGTACTTGTTTTGGTTTAACAAAAGGATTGTTGATTTTTTGGCAGAAAAATAAATTTATTCCTGTATTTTTAAAACAACAAAAAAATGAAATAACAGGAGAATTCAGCATTTTAATGTTAAAACATTTAAATGAAGAATTGAAAGATTTATTTATAAAATTTTATTATGACTTTGTCAGAAGTTTATGCAATTTACTTCCATATTCATTTAAAAAGCTAGAATCTTTTGTTGTATTTAATTTATTACATAATACAATACATTCATCAAAAAATAATGATAAACAAGATTTAGATAATCAACAGGATAATATTTCATGTTTTTATGATAATACTTTATTAAATGAAAAATCAATATCATATTTTTTTCATTCTAATGATATTTGCAGATTAAAAAGATTTGTTATGGAAGGAAGAAATTTTTATGAAATTTTATATTTATTATCTACCATATCTATTTTAATATTATTCAAAAAAGTTCAAATTGATTTAAACTTTTTAGAATATACAATTTTATATGCTGTATCCTTTCAAAAAAAAACTTGTAAAGAAATATCTGATGAAATTAAAATTAATGTAAATCAAACCAATGCCATATTTAGAAAAATTATTCATCGTTTTTATAATTTCATCAAGGTAAAAAAAAATATATATATATATATATATATATATATTTATATATATTTATATGTATGCATTTTTTTCATTATTTGACATTATATCATCTTTTAATTTTTCTTTTTTTTTTTCCTTTTTAAATGTAATATCATCTTTTCTTTTATAAATAGGACATAATGGAAAAACAAATAGAGAAAGAAGTAAATGAGGAAATTAAGGAAAAATTAAAAAAAAAAAAAAAAAAATCTTTAAATATAGAATTACCATCTGAGGAATACAAAGAAGAAATAAAAAAAAATTCTTTAATAATTAAAAAAAAGCAAGAAAATGAAAAACTTTCATTAATGAAAGAATTTAATATTTCAGGTATATTTATATCTACTTTTATATAGAAATATCATTTTTATAATAATTTATATATATATATACACCTAGTATTTTTTTTTAGAGTCCTATTTATTTTTTATATTTTTTTTTTCTTTTTTTGTATTATATGATTTTTTATCCACATATTTTTATTTTGATCTACTATGTTATTAAAGTATTTTTTTTTTTTTTTAATATAACGTATTATGTTATTTATTTTTTTATATGTTTAATATTATATATATATATATATATTTTTTTTTTTTATCTATTAATTTATTTGTATGTTGTTAGATATTTTATATATTTTTTTTTTTTCTTAAATATACACATGTAAATGAATCTCTTTTTTTTTTTAGGAAATATCAAAAGAAAACACATTAATTTAAAAAAAAATGATAACCCAAATCTTATTAAAAAAAAAAAAGTTATCAGTTCATAACTTTTTTTTTTTTTATAGTTGCAAAATGATGATACTTTATTTTATTTTTTTTTTTTAATATTTTTTTTTTCAATTTTTTTTTTTTTTTTTTTTTTACAATTATATTCTTATTTAATTTTATTTTATATTTTTAAAAGTGTTTAATTATTATACATATTATATTATTATTATTTGTTTTAATTATTATATTATTTATATTTAATATTTTTAAAGAACTTTGAGTATTTTTCTTTTTAATAAATTATTAAGTAATTATTTTAATCTGATATTTAAACATATATATATATATATATATGTTTGTATATATATATATATATATATATATGTTTGTATATATATACCTATATGTATATATTTAGAATAAAATGCTATATAATATAATTATTTTAATTTTTTATTTAAAACTTTCTAAATGTTTCTCAAAAAATAATAAATATGGTTTCATAAATATAAATAACTATTCTAACATTGTAAATAACAATAACAATTTAAGAAGTAAAAAAAATGCCATTTATTCTAAGATTGAAATAAAAATGCCTGCCTTATCAAGTACTATGACTTCAGGAAAAATTGTTAAATGGAATAAAAATATAGGAGATTATGTTAATGTATGATCATAAAAAACTTTTTTTTATATGCCTTATAATTTTTCTTCAATATTTTACAATAACATGTTTTGTTTTTATTTGAATAATTTTAACACCTATTTTTAATACAAAATTTGATTATAAAATTTTAATACACATTCTTTTTAATAAAAAATTTTTGCTTTATTCTTACTATTATCCTTTTGAATTTATTTTTTCTGACTTTTTTTTTAGCTAGGTGATACTATTATGACAGTCGAAAGTGACAAAGCAGATATGGATGTTGAGGCATTTGATGAAGGTATTAAAAAACAAAACGAATTGATTCTTAATTTTTTATAATAAGAAAAAAATATATTTTTTTTAGGATTTTTAAGAAAAAAGCATGTAGAAGATGGTTCAGAAGCTAATGTTGGTGATATCTTGGGAATTTTAACAACTGAAGAAAATGAAAACATAGATGAAGAGAGTAATAATGATAAAGAAGATAAAATGAAAGATGAAAAAAATTTTAAAGAGCAAATAAATACAGACATACAAGAACAGGCAGATGATATGAATGAAGTGAAAATATATATTCCATTTATTATGAGCAAAAAAAATAAAGCGAGAATAAATAAATGGCTAAAGAAAGAAAATGATTTTATAAAAAAAGATGAAGTATTTTTTTATGTTGAAGATGATAAAAGCACAATAGAAGTGGAAAGTCAATATTCTGGTTATTTGATTTATATAAAATATATGAACTATGTAAATATATATATATATATATATATAAATATTTATATATTTTAAATTCATTTTGCTTTTTTTAGGTATCATTAAAAAGATATTAATTAATGAAGGAGAATTTGCAGATTTAGATAAAGAGGTAGCTATTATTGCAATTAACAAGGTAACTTATTTTAAATATATATTTTCTAAAAAAAATGTGAGTTATTTTATATTTTTTTCTTTTTTTTTTTTTGTAGGCAGGAGAGAAAAAAAAAGAAGAAAAAAGTTCTTTTAATCAATCCAAGTAAAAAATATAAGATAATTTGCATTATTTTTAACAATTATATTAAAACTTTAACATTATTGTTATTTTGATATTTGTTTTCAATATTATTTTCATCATAATAATTAAGGAAGCTTTCATATATATAACTACTATTTTTATAATTCAAATTCTCACCATCATATTCATTTTATAATTCTACATTAAAATTAGGGAAAGTGAAGATGAAGAGATAAGTGAAAATAATGTATTAATGCATTATAAAAATATAATTAATAATACTAATGAGGGAAAACTTTTTTTGAAAAATTTAAAGTAAAATTAAAAATTCTTTTAATTATGAAATATATTTGTGATATTTTCAAAATAATAATTATTATTCTTTTTTTATAGCTCGCAAGAAGAAAAAATGCTAGAAGAACGACTTAAGTTAAATTTTGAGAAATATAATCGCACTTCAAGTGATATTTTCAAGTAAATATTACAAAAAACATATACATTTAGAATACATAAAAATTAAGTCTAATATTTACATACTTATTTTAATCTTATAGATCATTTGGATCTAACACTAATGACCCAATAACTAAAAAAGAAGTAAATGTAAACCACAAAAAAAAAAAAAAAAAAAAAAAATATTTATATAAATATGAGTATATATGCATTAATT